TCAGAATGTCGAATTTTCCAAGTTGGGACTGCACGCTTTCCAGAACCATGTGTTTTCCCTGATTGGACCGCCTGCTGTTCGAGCGTCGCGTGTTCCTGGCTTGAGCCTCCCATCAACCGCCTTGAAACATACGTTCCTGGGGCTCCACCGGAGAGAGAGTGAGGGAGGGGGAGATACCACGGGGAGTGTACAGAGGCAGTGTATTTTCCTTCCCCGTTTTGACCGCCCGCTCTCCAGAACCTCGTGCTTCCCCGTCTGGACCTCGCGCTTTCCAGAACCATGTGTTTTACAGCTGTTGGCGCTGCGGGGGCAGAATTTCATCCGATGACCTTGGGAGCAATATTGTTGGGCTGGGCCGTCGTCAGCCATCCCTGAGAGCGATACCAAGACGAGGCCAGGGACATCTCAACATTTGAGGATGACCCTGGCGATATGAAAACAAGTTCGGACCGTCTTGGGCCCACTTGTACCAATTGGGGGCCATCTTGGGCCATCTTGGGGCCGTCTTGGTCCGTCTTGTTGGCCTCTGTCCGATCGTCTTGAGGCCTTCCAAGAGCGATAGCAAGACGATGTCGACAACATGTTGCCTGTTGAAGATGTGCCTAGCGAAATCGCCATGTCGGGCAAGACCGAGACCACGATAACGTCAGCAACTATATTTGGGGCACGACTACATCGACAACATCTCAGTCGTACGAAGATGTTCCCAACGAGAACGCAATGTTGGGCAAGAGCAGTGTCGGCAACATCTCATGTGTGTAGGGCTGTCATTGGTGGAACCGTCATTTTTGGCGGAAGTGGCGCGTGTTGGAGCCATGTTGTTGGTCTTGAAGCCTTCCAGAAGCGACCTTGACATCTCAGGTGTTTGATCTCGTTCCCAACCAAATCGCCATTCTGGCTAATTGCCAGATCCCTGCCCGTGCGCCTGCCAACTCCCTCAAACTCTCCCTAAATTATGTCTTCCAACTGACGGATCGCACGCTAAGCGCGCTATCCGTCATCAATCCCCCCACGCATGCCAACCCTTCAAACCTCTAATTTCATTTCTTCCGACGAACGGATCGCACGCCAAGCGTGCTTCCCGTCACCCCCCCTGCGACGAGGCATGCCATACACGTCAAACTCTCCCTGCTTTCATTTCTCACGACTGACGGATCGCACGCTAAGCGCCCTTCCTATCCTCCGCCACCCCCTTTTGCTTCAAAATAGGTCCAGCCCTTTGAAAAAGATCCCACTGGGGTCTCGGCTCAGCCCGCCAGTCACACGGAAGGATCCCCCAAACCAGGAAGTCAGGAACAGTCGCCTCCAAGATTGCCGAGATGGCCCAGGATAGTCTCCAAGACGGTCCCAATATGACTCCAATATTGCCAATTGGCCCAAGAGAATCCAAGGTGGCCCAACGATGCGTGCGAAACGGCCCCAGATCGTCCCAAGACGACCCAAGACGGTCGAAGATGGCCTCAAGACGGATCAAGAAGCGCCCAAGACGGCTCCAAGATGGCTCCAAGAAGCCCAAGAGGCAAAACTTATTGATGTCCCAAAGCTTTGAATGATGTGTGCGTTCTCGTTGTTTTTTAGCTTACGGCAGCCGAAGGGGACACCGAGAGACCCCCAGAGGGGGCCCCAAGAGAGCCCCAAGAGGCCTCCTCTTTCTCGCCCTCCTCCTCCTTCTCCTCCTAGCTCCTTCTATTTGCTCCTGATCTTGGTCTTGCTCCCCCAACACAAGTTTCCAACACTAGTCGATCAGCTTGGCAGAATGTCGCACCAACATTTGGCCATATAGGCGTTTCGAGAAGGCGATGGGCAGCGCTGGTTCGCCGAAGGCGCCTTCGACCTGCCGCTCTCTTTTGTTTGCACAAAGGTGCTTGGCTTGTCAAACGTTCGAACACTTTCTGACCCTTCCGTAAGGTTCTCGTTGGCCTTCGGCCAATCTCACCGGCCACCAAGAAATACCTAGGAAATTCCGGAAAAAACTGGCATTCAAGGAAGCCAAGGCTGCCCAATATTGCCTTCAGGGAGAACAGGGAGGATGGTCGGGAACAAGCGCCACGCTCCGTCGCACCCTGGAGAGATCGGCTTCGATGACCGTGGCCGACGACCCATGATCGCCTGGGTGCTTGCCCCGACAGATATTGTAGGAGCTCGACCACAAGAAACCTTCCACAAACAAAAAAAAGCCTGAGACCCCGGGACGTCCATTGATTTGTTGTGTGGAAGCGTCACGCTTCCCATAGCGAGACCATCGAAATCCACGAAACCCTGGAGGCAAGCAGGGTGTTCCTTGGCATGGGCTTCCGCTGCAAGGAGGAGGTGGAGGGGAGACAGGACGACAGGCAGCAGACGACCCTCGGCCAACCGGGGTGCTCTTTCGCTCACCCGTGCGTGCACGCCGACGCCCCGCAGAGAGCGCCAAGAGGTAGTCCGGCAGCCCTCTCGGCGCAACAAGCGGCGCTGCCACTGCGGGCACCGCCGCCGCGAGCGCCAGGGTACACTGCATCCCTCCTCGAGATCGGACGAAAGTTTTTCCCGCGACGCGGCGGCGCCCCAGGACCCACAATATTCAATGTTCGCGCCGAGATTGGCGACTGCAAACGCACACATCCGACCCTGTGGGCCGCGCTTCGCGCGCCGACCAACATGTATAGCTTGCGTGTGATTTCGCGGAGGGCTGCATACCGCCCCAGCCTTCACGATCTTCTTGGTCATCATGGTTGTCGTCGTGCTCGTCGTGGTGGTCGTGGTGGTCGTCGTGGTCGTGCACTTTTTGTTTGTCTGGGCACCTGTCCGTCACTTTTGGACTCGCCCCCGCAGTGATTCCCTCCGTTCCTTGCGGCCGTCTTCACCGTCCTGCCCGTCTGGAGGAAACAGCAAGATCACGCAAGCACGAACTCTCGGAGGCACGCGCGGAGTTCTTGGATCCGTGCTGGGCCTCCCTCCCCTGGCTCGCGGAGTGCGCCAGGGGCGGCGCTGGAGGCGCGGCCAGGGAACCCAGCGCCGTTCCAGGGAATGCGCGCGGGCCCTCGACGGCTTCTGTAGACGTAGCCTCTGTTCCTTCGATCCTGGCCCTGCTGCCCTGCCTCGGGCACGGTGGCGAGGTGAGCTGAAGGCCAGTAACACATGCGCGAACGACAAAACGGAGACACGTGCATGCGACAACAGGCAGTCCAACTGCCCCCTGAAGATTGCAAGGCCGATCACATTGAGCTGGGCCCCATGGAGGCTCACCGTCATCAAACCGCGGCAGCGGACGTACTAAGGCCCCCACATGTCGTCATCGGCCCCCTTCGTGCTGAGCTCTGAGGCACGGAGGTCAAAGCCCACGAAGCGAACGTCAAGACCGAGCTTGGACGTCTCCACCTCGGGCGCGTTCCGTGCCCCGGGGGGGACAAGGTTGCGCGCTACCTCTGCGGCTGCTGCCACTGTGCGTGTGGCACTGGTGCTCTAGATTTAGGGCACATCGTGGCGGTTGCTGCTGTCATCGATAGCGTTGCCAATGGCATCTTTGCAATGGTCACCTGAACCATTGTCGCCGCCGCGGCTACGCAGAGGGCAACCATGCCCAAGTTCTGAACCTCCAGCCGTGAAGCGACTTCAAGATGAAAAGAGAGGCGTGTATCAGCCACCCTCCCTGCATGCAACGTTGCACGGATCTTCCCTGTACAACGCTCCAACAGCTGTGCATCCCTGCTATTCTTGGAGGTTGCTGCCCTCTCTCCCCTATCTGTTCCCTCACTTCCTCCCGCGTGCCCTCCCTACCCGCTGCTATTCTGCATGTTCGTTCCTCCCCCCCGTGTCCCTCGCTCCCTCGCTCCCTCCTTCCGAGAAGACAGCGAAACCGCTTGCTCAGAAGAGCTCCGCAGCGCCTGGAAAGGCAACCATCGGACGGCAAGGAACACTTGGCGCTCCAGAGATCGTTGGCGCTCCAGAGATCGTGGTGCCACAGCCGCAGCTCGCCTTAGTTCGGGCATCTCCCCCTACAGGCGGATTGTGGGCGAAAAATCAAAAATAGTCAACAGTACTCAAACATAGTAAAAAATGCTAGCAAAATCGTCCCCAGGCTATTTCTTACCAAATCTTGAATTTTCCTCTTGTAGAGGGACAGGCCCGACTTCAAGCTCGCCTGAGCCTGCTGAGCAGTCGAGCCGACCGTGGTGCTGACCACTCGTCGGACCGCAGGCCTACCGGCGTGCTCATTCTGCTGAAATGGATCGCGGGGAGGAGGCGCAGGATGACGAGGACACGAGGCCTCAGAGGCGACCATCGTGTCATGACCTGCCGTTTGCCTTCTCTTGGAGGGTGGCGTTGCAAGTCCGCGCGTTTGGTTCTTGCATGGGGATGGTTCCAACTAGCTGGTACGCGTTGTCAAAGAACGCGAGTTTGCGGCTTCGTTTTCAGTATCTCCTCCGAGGTTCACACCCTCTTTTTAGGTCGGGCATGTCCTCCTACAGGCGGATTATGGACGAAAGCTTAAAACATAGTCAAAATAGGTTCCAACGTGGTCAAAAGTAGTGGAAACAGCGTCCCCAGACTATTTTAAACAATTTTTGAATATTCCTCCCGTAGAAGGACACGCCCGGCTTAACTCTATCTTCGGCACCCTGGCAAGAGCAAAGAAGCATCACTGTCGTGACCGGGCAGGCTGTCCATCCAGTCTGCTGCGCACCCGCCTTGTGGGGACTGACTCGGCGGCGAGCGAGGGGGAGAAGTGAGACGGAGAAGGCCTTCTCAGAAGGCGGCGGGACTTCTCAGAAGCCCTCGCGCCTTCTGAGAAGTGTTCGGTGTATCTTCGGGTAAGGCTCAGAAAACTTTTCAAGAAGGCCAGGGGGGCTTCCGAGCCTTCTGAGAAGGCCCGTCCCTTCTCACTTCCACCTGGGGCTCGCCGCCGACGAACGATGAGGACAGACAGGGCGTGAAAAAAGGGGATGAGCAATCGAGTATGCAGGATGAGTCTGGGATCTTGAGGGAAGAAGGGGGGAGCATGCGGTAAAGCAACATTGCAGATGGCGGACCTGGAGTGGCGCAGGGACATGAAAGTGGCTGCTGGCAGAGTTGAAGGCTCATGGACGGCCTTAATCAAAGGTCGCAGCGAGCCTTCGCAACGTTAAACTCTGCGCAATCATGTGCGTCATCCTGCACGTTCTTGAAGTAGACGAAGGTGTGATTCTTCCCGTACTCCTTGACAGCGCTCCTTCGCCGTTTGGTGGCACATTGCGAAGACAGGAGGGCGCAAGCCTGGGACACAAGCCTGGAACGGACACGACAAGGAGGTGAAGGTTACCAAGACGTGACAGGGGGGATAACCGATAGCATAAAGAGGGGAGAGATACATTAGGACGAAATGAGAAGCAAGTAAACAAAAACGGATGCAAAGACAGGGATAGGGAGAACGGAAGAGGGAGAAAGAGAGAGAGAGAGAGATAAAGAGAGACAGAGAGAGAGAGAGAGAGAAAACAAATAACATGTAATGATAACCGCTGGTTCTCCAACAAGCCAGACAACAACGTGGCCTGCACGCACAGACACGTACACACACCTTTCCAACGACCACACTTGTGATCAAGACTCAGGGTCAAGGCTAATCCTGCTTTGAACCACCCTCAACCCTCCCCACAAGCGTATACGGAAACCCAAGGCCGACCAAATCCTCTACCTGGCAGCTGAGAATGACGACGCTGGTATCGAGACCGCGCCTAACATTGCATATGCTTGGTCCAGAGGTAGTAGCTGATGCAGAGGGACACATGGGAGAGGGACACGTAACACCAAACATCCGATGTCTTGATCTCGTTCAATACGGAGTCCCCGGAAGTCCCGACCCTTTTCCGAGGGCCGGCTCTTCATCCCGAGTATCTGTTCGCGGTCCCAGGGCCTAGTTGCGAGGCCCCCCCCCCCGGGAGGCCGAAAGCGGTGAGCAGGCTCCCGTCGTGCTCTTTTCCACGACGCGAGCACGTCCGGGCAACCATCAGCAATTCTCGGCGGCTCCAGCAAGCACATTTAAAGGGTCCCTGGGACACACAAATACACACAAATAAAAGGATTCCCCATATCTTCCCATATTTTCTTGGTTTTTGTCTTCCCCCCCACTTCCCATATGTTCCCATATTTTCCTTGGAATCGACGATTAATTGTGTCTGTGTGTTTTTTCCCCTCCTGAACGTTGTCTGACAGCGCGCTCTCGGTGGATCTGGCAGACGCTGCGGGCCAGCGTGCGGCACGACGCACAGGGAAAGCTGCCCCCCGCATCGAGGGCGCGAGGCCCCCGCGCGTGGAGGGCACACGAGGCAAGAGGCCCCGTCGCAGCGGACTGAAGGGGCCCCAGGATACACAAATACAAAGATTCCCCATATTTTTCTATATTTTCTGGGTTTTTGCCTTCTGCCCCACTTCCCATATTTTCCCATATTTTCCGGGGAATCGACGAATAATTGTGTGTGTGTGTGTTTCTTTCCCTCCGGACAGACGCGCGTCCCTCCCGTCACCGCTAACTCCGAAGAAGTTGGCAGCCTCAGTGGCGGGCGGCCCGCCAGATCAAACTGTCAGAACTGACCAAAAAGACTTCGCCTCCACCCAGGGCCCGATTGAACGCGATCCTGTGGAGTTGAGCTTGGAATGCAAAGGGGCACCACGACGCAGCAACAGAAAACGGACGACAATCACCCCGAAGGGGCCCTCAACGAAATCCCGTGCACACCTCCCCTCCCTGGCAAGGCCTGTGATGGCGCGCGCACGGACAGCCCCCCGTGGCAGCCCCAGCTGACGTCAACAGGCCTGAGCACTCAGCCCACGGCGATCTCAGTACCCAGCGCCTCAGTGGGCCCTGGAAATGGCAGGGCCTTGAACATGGAAACGGCAAGAACACGGCAGCCAGAAAGCGGCACAAAAACGACTCCGGAATCCGAGCAGGAGCCGGCACCGGGGAAGAGAAACGGCGACGGAACCGGCAGCAGCAACGGCGACGGCACGCGCCACGCAACCGGGAAAACGGCACCGGTAAAAAAAAGAAAAACGGCCCCGTCGCTTCCAGGTCCCACTACTGGCCATCGCTCGGACGTCCATTCCCTGTGTTTTTTGTTGGTTTCGTGCGTGTTTTTTTCGCCAAATGGTCAAGGATGCTCCTCGATGGTCCTCGCCGACGGAAAAAATGCCCACGACCGAGCGATGCCAAGACTAGGCCCAGCGCCACCTCCGGCAGCGCCCGGCGGGGCGGTCCGCGGTCGGGCTGTTCAGACCGCCGACGGGCCCCGGGCTGCCAGCCCGCCGAGGCGAGCCGAGGCTGCCCAGCCAGAGGCGACTTTTGATGCGCAGGCACCAGCCTGGTCAGGCGTCCCGCTCCCTCCCCCCCCCCGCCGCCCCGCTGGCTCCGCTCACGCATCCCCTCCCGCCCCGAAGCCCGTGGAGAGCCTGGACCTTCTGGAGGGCTCCCTCCCAGCCTCGGAGCGCCGGTGCGGCAGGCGAGAGAAGGGAAGGGAGAGAGAGAGCGAGAGGGGGGGAGCTATGTGTATCCATATGGACATATCGGAGGTTGGGGGGTGAGTCCGACGTGAAACGGAGACCCCCCCCTACCAGGAAATCGATTTCGGTTTCGGGTTCGTGTCGTGCGTGCCGTGCGTGCGTGCGGGCGAGGCGAAGCTGCGTGGGCGGGCGAGAAGAAATCCTCCTGTGACTGGGCCGCGGCCGGACCAAATGTTGCTCATCCGGCGGCCGGTGCCGCGCGGTGTCCCGCCAGTGTCCCGCTGGTGTCCCGAAATCCTCCTGTGGCTGGGCCGCAGCCGGACCAAATGTTGCTCGTCCGGCGGCCAGTGGCGCGCGGTGTCCCGCCGGTGTCCCGTGATGTCCCGTTGAGTGAGATCGATGGTGAGATCGACATTGAGATCGATACTGAGATCGATACCGAGATCGATACTGAGATCGATGTGGTGCCCCGAGGTGTCCCGTGGTGTCCCAGAAAGTGACATCGATAGCGAGATCGACAGGTGTCCCGTGGTGTCCCGTTGAGTCAGATCGATAATAATGAGATCGATAGTGAGATCGATAGTGAGATCGATGTGGCGCCCCGAGGTGTCCCAAACTGTGAAATCGATATTGAGATCGATAGTGAGATCGACAGGTGTCCCGTGGTGTCCCGCCGGTGTCCCGTTGAGTGAGATCGAGAGTGAGATCGATAGAGATCGATTGATGTGGTGCCCCGAGGTGTCCCGCGGTGTCCCGTGGTGTCCTATGGTGTCCCGTTGAATGAAATCGATGGTGAGATTGAAAGTGAGACCGATAGTGAGATCCAGAGGTGTCCTGCGGCGTCCCGTGGTGTCCCGTGGAGTAAGATCGATAATGAGATCGATTGTGAGATCGACAAATGTCCCGCGGTGTCCCGTGGTGTCCCGCCGGTGTCCCGCCGGTGTCCCGTGGTGTCCCGTTGAGCGAGATCGATAGTTAGATCGATAGTGAGATCGACAACTGTCTCGTTCTGTCCCGTGGTGTCCCGTGGTGTCCCGTTGAGTAAGACCGATCGTGAGATCGATTGAGTCAGATGTTGGTCCCCCCCCCCTCTCCCCCCCCCACAACCTCCTTATCACCCGAAGGGTGGTCGTATAGGTATACATATATACATGAATACCTCTACTTATATATGATCCAGGGTCGAGGGTTCACGGGCCCCCCCCCCCAGATGGTATGGTCCCAGGATTCCTCGGCCTCCCCCCCCCCCCAGATGGTATGGTCTCAGAGACGACGACGACGACGACGACGGCGACGACGACGACGGCGACGACTACGACGACGGCGACGACGACGACGACGACCACGACGACGACGACGACGGCTGCGGCGGCGACGACGCCGCGGCGGCGGCGGCGACGACGACGATGACGACGATGACGACGACGACGACGACGACGACGACGAGGACGACGAGGACGACGAGGACGACGAGGACGACGACGACGACGACGACGACCTCTGAACCACCACAGCACCACACCACATCCACAGGGGGGGGGAGGGGGGCACCGCAGCGCAGCACCACGCCACGCCCACCTCTGAACCACCACAGCACCACACCACATCCACAGGGGGGGGGGGGGGGCACCGCAGCGCAGCACCACGCCACGCCCACAGGGGGGGGCGGGGGGGACCATCGCGCGGGGGGGGGGGCCCAATGGCATCAGCATTGGGGGGGGGGGCCCGCCCTGGACCATATATGTGTACAAGTGGCACGTGCGTGCGCAGGCTCATACACAAAGGACAGCAACACGTCAGCGTCGCAGAAGGTGGACACGAAGAGGAGTCCGGATCCGAGGAAGAGCATGAGGAATCAGGAGATGAAGGAGCAGAGGAAAAAGGAGAGAAGGAGGATCATAAGAATCGCCAGGTCGCTGCTGGTCCCAGTCGAATGCAGGTGGAGTTTCGACACCCAGAGATGACGCGTCCAAACTCATCGAAAACAATCGTGTTTGATGGTGTTATGTTAAACAGATTGACGATTCTTCGTGCTGTGTTGAGCCCTAACGTCGGAATCTGCGTGAAGGGCGAGTCCGACATCCTTGGGATTCTAGAGATGTCTCTAGCGGCGAAACGGCCAGCACAATTGCGGGCGGGAGCCTCCGGCTTCAATTCATCGCCTCTGAGCGCTACCCCCTCGGAACCGATCTCTGTATTATCTATACCTGTACCTATATCTATATATGTATATATATACACATACACCCAGCCCTGGCCAGGTGCCCCACTCCCACGTCGTCACTGACGCCCCGCAAGAACCAGAGCAGCCAGCGCCCGCAGCGCCAGGGGTGCGGCACCGCGGAAAGCGCTGGGCCCCGGAGCCTTCGGAGAGACCAGACATCTCGCCGCTGGCCTCCCCCGCGGGAGCGGCGCGGCCCTGGCCAACTGCGGGGGAAACCACTCTCCTGGCCATCGCTCGGACGTCCGTTCCGCATGCATTGTCTGGCTTCGTGAGTGTTTTGTTCAAGTCCACGATGATCCAAGGTGGTCCATGTTTTCTCGCGCTGGCTCCACCGAGAAGGTTGCATGTGTCTGAGCGATGCTAAGTCTCGTGTGGCTTCCAAATCCGCGTCAGACTAACGGTCTTTGCAGATCGTGCAGGCTGCGTTGGCCAAAACCAAACGCGAACAGATCACGCCTGGCTGTTGACTGGCAGGTGACCCTGGGCCATGCCATAATCATCAACTCGCGTGACGCTGGGCGACTCGGAAAAACTACCTCCCCATGCTCCTGGGCTTCTCCGCGTTTGGGCCCCAATGCTCGCTTCAACACCTTGAGTACACTGCGGCAGCTTGCAACGCAAGGCAGCGAAGGGAGCAGACCCCTCTCCACTCTGGGGCTCCTGACGGCCTCGAGGAAGGTGGCCGTGGACTCCGAGCAGCAGAAATCGCAGTCCGGGCTATCCTCGTCCTCCCGGTCGTCATGGACGGCAGAAAGACACGCAGAGAACAACATCTCAAGATACACACGACCCGTAACATAAAAACGCGCGGTAAGGATGCAAGGGCCTTGGTCGCCCATTTCGAGGCTTTTTGAGCGGGGCGCGGCCAACGAAAGTGGCCAAGGATGGACCGATGAGGCAAGGATGCCAGGACACCCTTGGGAAGGTTGCCCATCCTTAATATGCGGGTTGACTGCACGAACGGGCCATTGGATCATGGCGCAGCGGGGTGCCATGGTGCTGAGCAGAGGCCCGGCATGCCGGGCAGCGGCGAGCCAGGGCGGCGACGATAGGGCGCGTGACACACGCGACGCGTCAC